AGCTTTCATAAACCTAGCAATCCCTTAGTTTTTTTTGATTTCCTCAAAAACTAGAGGAGCACCTAATTTTTAATTAGAGGTCCTAATAAGCACCTGAAAAGCACCTAATTATTATATAGATCCCGAAGTTTTTTTGGAAAAATATTTTTCACTATAGGGGACTACTAGCTTTCATAAACCTAGCAATCCCTTAGTTTTTTTTGATTTCCTCAAAAACTAGAGAAGCACCTAATTTTTAATTAGAGGCCCTAATAAGCACCTGAAAAGCACCTAATTATTATATAGATCCCGAAGTTTTTTTGGAAAAATATTTCTCACTATAGGGGACTACTAGCTTTCATAAACTTAGCAATCCCTTAGTTTTTTTTGATTTTGTCAAAAACTAGAAGAGCACCTAATTTTTAATTAGAGGTCTTAATTAGCACCTAAAAAGCACCTAATTATTATATAGATCCCGAAGTTTTTTTGCCATTCTGCCAGCAGTCCTCTAATAATTAAAAAAAAAATCTGTAACTCAGTTAATAATTAATCAATTCTATTTTTACTTGGACTATTTAGGAGCACCTAAAAAGCACCTAATTCTGATACAAAGGAAAAATTTGAAAAAATATTTTTTACTATAGGGGACTGCTAAGCTTTTATAAACCTAACAGTCCCTTAGTTTTTTTGATTTTCTCAAAAACTAAAGGAGCACTTAATTTTTAATTAGAGGCCCTAATTAGCACCTAAAAAGCACCCAATTATTATATAGTTCCCGAAGTTTTTTTCCACCTTGAGACTGCTAGGTTTAAAGACCTTGCCTGGTAATGGATAAACTTGCTGACGCATCTAGGGTGCCTTATGGAAATTTGCATTAAGATGAGGCACTCCAGATGACGTCATACAGTTATCAGGCATCCTACCTCACTCAAACAACCTTAGTATCAGACCGCCGCTTAAAAAATTTCACTTCAAAAATAAAAAACACAGAATAAAAGAAACAGATTTTTTTTTTTAAAAAATGGAATATTTTGGAATTTTTTGACATTTTTTAGAATCTTGCATACGCACCATACGGAACAGTTAGAGTGCTCGGAACAGATACAGTGCTCATGCTTTTACCAATACATTATTCTAAAATATTCCAACATGGAATTTTTTAGAAATTTTTGTGGAATTTTTTGGAATAATGAGTCGGAGTAAAAGACGAAGGTAAACACACATCTGTAGTGACGTCACAAGTGTATCGGCGCTTGACAATAATAGTTTATGTTGATAACTTTTGGTTTGTATCCAGCCTTAGCTGTCATTGTCATTGGCTGTCTTTCTCCGTCCCTTTACGTTATATTTTTTCTTCTCTCTCATGTAACAAAATTCGCCAAAACATGAGGCGTCTTTTCAATCACTCTTCATTCTTGTTTAAATATCAGACCGCCGCCTAAAAAGTTTCACTTCAAATAGCACATGACACAAATGTATAAATAACGAAAATAATCACAGAACACAATGATATTAGTATAACAAAAAAGCATCTGTAATGACGTCACGCTTGAAAATAATAGGCAATCCTTGATTTGTGGCAATCGATGACTGTTTTTCTGCGCCTCTTATATCATTTTTTTGATACTAACTTAAGAAATAGTCATTATCAATCATATCAATTTTTCTTAAAAAAAATTGTATATTATTCAACCAGCGGGTAATGATGGCTATTACTCACGAAGGATGAAATTTGCCTTACGAGCCGCAGGCGAGTAGTGTAATCATCTTAGTGAATAATAGCCATTACCCACGAATCGAGTAGAATACTATACTCTTTCTATGATTATTACATAATAGAAACGAGTTATGCGATTTTATTTTTAAATTTCGTAACAAAATTAATTGACAATTCTGACAGCTGGAGGACAAAGTGAGCTTAGGTTAGCACAAGTCTTGTCCAAATCAGGGTTGCATTTAGAAATAGCACTCTGGGTTTGAGAGTAACTCTAAACCGTTCATAAATTAACGGGTGCTTACTCGGAGCGTTACACTGGAATCATTCAGAAATCGAGAGTTGACGTGCCCAGAGTGCGCTCAAATTACCCCACTCAGGGATTGGGTTGAAAAACGTTTTGCAGTTTTTGACGTTGACATTTAGCGCAACACCCCAATTACGTTCAGAAAAGGCGCACCCAGAGTGCACACCAACTGATGACGTCAGAACACTCTGACAAACAACTAGTCTACCTTCACACTCCATTTCTAAATGCACTCCAGCTGTCAAAATGATCGATTGGAAGGTTGAAGTGTGTTGTCAACTTGTCAAATTTTCTGATTGGCTCTTGAATAGTGGAGTAATGAGACCAGGATATTTTCATTGGTTGAAAAACAATTAAGTAATGAAAAAAAAACTTACTGTATGAGTAATTATTCACATTGATTAATAGAAAATGGATGTATATTATGCATTTTATTCAATACTCATAGAAAAATAGAATTTCTCTCCCCATAATAAAAATAATTAAAAAAAAAAAAAACCTAGAGGTCAATAATTAAAATGACGTCATTTCGCAAGGATATTGTCATGACGTACCAGAAGTGGAATTCTGTAACGGATAGAGATCGTTATCGATATTGCTATGGCACTTGTTGTCTTCTTTTCTCTTTTCGAAATCAATAGAGAGGGGACGTCAATAGAAATAGCGAAAATATCACTATTTGTTACAGAATTCCAGCCCAGGACGCGGATTCTGTGTCCTAAAGCTTCCTACATGTCGAATTCTAGTGTCGATTTCTACATTTAATATGAAAGGAAATCGTGTAGTGAACGGTACCAATTTAAAAAAAAAAACAGGTTCCTGTATCTACATTACCATAAGCTGTTGATAAAGGGCAGCACCAATGAACTTTCAACAAGACTGAGGGCGTTCAACAAACCGCACATTCGTGAAACGTACCTAATAAATCAGGACTTGATTAATAACACAACAACTTGCGTTTTATCAGGAACAATCATTAAAATAATTAGCAGCAAAAATACAATGTTGTTATTGATCGCAAAACCCATTTCGATGTCCCGTCAAATGTCAATCGTCAAAACATCTAGGCGCTTTCGCCTGACGTCAGTGCGGTTTTTTTTCCTGGGATCCTCAGTCAATGACAGAGTGCCCCAGAGCACAAATTTCAAACATATTTTTTTTATTTTCTAGCAGTATTAAAAAAACATGTTATATTCCTCCGTAGAGAAAGTCATTTGCGTTTCGGTTTATAAAAGCCCTCGGTATATAATGACCAACTTCTCTACCTAGGTATATAATGTAGGTACTATTTTGATAATATTTTAATATACTTACATAATGACGGCTCACAGATATAACCAAAAAAAATCACAAAACACAATGATGATAATATTAGGTCCGTTTCTGCAGGAATCACAAACCAGTCAGAGTGAATTTCATTGGTTGAAACTAGTTTTTTGACTATTTTCATCCAATGAAATTTGCTCTGACTGGTTCGTGATTTCTGCAGAAACAGACCTAGCATAGTATAACAAAAAGCAGATGTGCTGAATGTGCATCTGTAGTGACGTCACAAGGTTATCGGCACTTGTCAATAATAGGCAATTCTCTTGACGCTTATAATTCTTGGATTTAGTCAATCAATAGCTATCTTTTTCCGTCTGTTTACTCTGTATCTTTTTTCTCTTTTGAGTAACGAAATTTGCCGTGACGCGTTTTTCAAATAACTTTATATTATTGTCCAAATATCATAGCGTTTCCGATTGGTAGATTCAGTGCGCACTTAGTGTATTTGCATCCTTTTATTCGACCTGTAGAAGAAAAAGACAGAAATTGCACTAGTTCCGCACTAGATCTACCATCAGACCGCCGCCTAAAGCTTACTTTTCATGCATCCGTTTTTCCGTCAATCCGATGATACGAGATTCGGATTGACGGAAAAACGGATGTATGAAAAGTAAGCTTAAGAAGTTTCACTTCAGAAAAATCAAGATTCAGGGCAGGGTTCACAACAAGTAGAATTCTACTTTCATGAGTCATGACGTCAGGTTGCATACTAGCAATCGTCATCATCGCATCGCCTGTACAGAGTATGCGATAAATAAGTCGCGGGTGACGTCATGAAAGTAGAATTCTACTTGTTGAATAAAATATACATAAAAATGACCCAACCCTTGAAAAATACACATAAGTATTCATTTAAAAAAAAAAACACAAAATATCGAGAAACTAAAATATTTGCATTGTAAACAATCGATCAAAGAAGGTTAATACCGAATTTGAGTTTCCCTTTAACCGTGAGTTTGTCTTGAAACACTGACCACTTGGAGTATCTTTCATCTTTTTTGCTTTCGATGAGAAAAACATGGATAAAACAACAATACAGCAGCTTCAAGCATCTACCCGAATTTTATCTAAAACTGCGCATATTAGGCCTTCACGAAAACGCTGATCCGATTAGACGAATCACCAGCTGATATAATTTGTCCTTCTTCAATCCTGAGTATTGAAGAAAGATGAAAAGCCTGTGATCGGGTTAATCGAATCACTGTTTTCGTAAAGGCCTATTGTAATGTAAATTTTCCAGTTCTAGTGATCACTCTGTTGGTTTATGAAAGTGAAGTACAACATAACCAACAAAAAATTAAGGTTAAAGTCAAGTAATTTACTGAACAGTGGCTTCTGATTGGTCTATACCATTACCATTACACATAGATGTGTGATTTTTACTATTAATATTGTTTTCAGGATAATGCCTTCATTATTTAGTTGTAAATGATAATTTTTATGTATTTTATTTTATTTTTTTTCTTATTTTTCGTATAGTTTCATTCCCCTCGCCTCTGCCTGTCATCAATGAGGGTGATGAGTTCGATAAAAAAAAAATGAATCTACAGTAAAAAAAATTAATTGGGAAATAAAATTTAACGTGCAAAAATGCGAAAAAATTTATCATTCGTCCAGGGGGGTTTTTTCTAAATTTTTTTTTTCTACAATAACATTTTTGCATTTTGTTTTTAGGTGACGCCAGTAACGCGAGTATCGGCAGCGGAGAGGGCACAGGCGAGGAGGATGATGATACGAACGGAAAGAAAAATCAAAAAAAGAGAGGCATATTTCCCAAGGTGGCCACAAATATCCTTCGGGCGTGGCTCTTTCAACACCTAACGGTAAGATATTCAAATTTATCACTTTAGTGTTTAAATTAAACATCTCAGTCAAAAAGTTTCGTCATCGCTATGCATTAAATTTTCATAAAAATTGATCGATGTGTCGGGGCGGTTTTAAAAGCATATAGAAGGGGATCGGAGAGATCCCTTGCAGCAATATCCGATATCGGAGGATTAGCACGCAGAGTTTAATGAGTCGTGCAACTAAGCCCGGATCAGAGAGAACCGATACCCGTGCTCGAATTATGCATCGTTCAAATATTTATGCGTGGTCGAGTAGTTGACCGGGCGGATAGTCTTTCGAATTCAAAGTGCCGAACATCAAATATTGAAAATTCCTCGGGGAAATGGCGATTTCCGTCGTTATCTACAGCTCTCCGACTGCACTTTCCGTTGCAAACCTTTAATTTCGGCTGACAGGTGAAGGAATATCCTCGGGGAGCCACTTCGACCGCCTTATATCACACCGGCTATACTTTCCTACTGCCCCGGACGGACAGAGGCAAAAAGGTGAACTGAATACGGATTAGGTTTTGCCCCCTCAGCCCGATTCTGACCTTTAGTATGCATGTAACGGATAGATAAAGTGTCTAGAGAACATTTAAATGCCGCCCAACTGAGATGAAAACGGCCTTTATAATCCTCTATTATGCTAGATGGATCCTAACAATTCATCCTTATATTATAATATAATCAAAAACACAGTTTTTGGAAATTTCTCCTACTGCTAGTTAGAAAACTCAAGTCTTCATCAATAACGCACACCTAATATGGGATTTTTGGGCTCTATGGATTTTGCCTATTTTTTAATATGTTGTAGAGAATTTAATTCTTAACAACTTTTAAACGGGTCGAAATCTTGTAGGTATTACGGTCTTTGAGATATGAACGTTGAAAGATGAACTTTTTTGCGACTTTTTGTGTGGAGAGTATACGAAATACTGGTGCTACTGGTGTTTATCAGTCAAAATATTGACAGGTTCACATATTTTACGTCACTAACAAATCAATATCAACATAGGCTAAGGCCAGGACCGCACTGGGGTCCATGTTGGCACCAGTGCGGTCCTGGCCTTAGCCTATGTTGATAATTGTTAGTGTCGTTAGTGACGTAAAATATGTGAATTTGTCAATATTTTGACTGATAAACACCAATAGCACCAGTATTTCGTATACTCTCCACATAAAATGTCGCAAAAAAGTTCATCTTTCAACGCTCATATCTCAAACACCGTAATACCTACAAGATTTCGTCCCATTTGAAAGTTGTTAAGAATTAAATCCTCTCCAACATATCAAAAAATGGGCAAAATCCATAGAGCCCGAAAATCCCATGTAAGGTGTGCTTTATCCTCTATCGCTCGAGTTCCGTAACCATCTATCCATTAATTCAAGTACGATACTAACCTGACTTATTCAAATGTCAGTTATTCTAATTAGTTCAAAAACTACACGTTTCAGGTAAGTGTCTTATTTTACTTTTTGTCAATTTGCCTTTCAACAGGAATTAGTAATGTTACTTTACCGAACTAGTAACATAATATGACAAATTATTCAACTACAAATGAGTGAATTGTTATGGAACTTATAGGTGATCCTCTGCGGGACGAGCGCAGCGAGTTCCGCAGCCATCTATTCATCAATATGTTGTTTAATTACGATACTATCCTGACTCACTCAAATATGAGTTATTCTCATTAGTTTAAAAACTACACGTTTCAGGTGAATGTCTTACTTGAACAGTTTAACAGTATATAAGTAAGTAGATGGCTGCGGAACTCGCTGCGCTCGTCCCGCAGAGGTTCACCCATAAGTTCCGCAACAATCCACTTATTTGTATTTGAACAATAATTTATTATATGAAGTCAGAATTTGTAAGATTATCCACTTTTTATCAATTTGCCTTTGAACAGAAATTAGCAATGTTACTTTACCAAACTAGTAACATAATGTGACAAGTTATCCAACAAGAAAGAAATGAGTGTCACCGAAGGAAGAGAAATATTCAAGTGAAGCCCATTCATCAAGACCAGATACTATTAGAAAATTCCAATGTTACACTTGCAATGCTTTATTTGAAACTAAATCAATTTTAAAACATCATTTAGTAATACACCTAGATATTTCTCCTTTTGAATGTGACACTTGCAAAGCAAAATTTAAACGAAAAGGCCATTTGAAGAATCATGTATTAACACACTTGAATATTCGTCGTTTTGAATGTGACACTTGCAAAGCAAAATTTAAACGGAAAAACGATTTGGAGAATCACAAGCTAACACATTCGGATGATTATACTTTTGAGTGTGACACTTGAAAAGCAAAATTTAAACAAAAACATAAAGCCCGGGACACATGTATCATGCATTCTTCCGATCCGACTCCGATCATACAATCAAGGTCCTTATTCTTGGAACAGGGAGTAGTGTTCCCAGGCGTTCTCCTGGGAGCGCTGCTCCCCTGTTCTAAGAATAAGGACCTTGATTGTATGATCGGAGTCGGATCGGAAGAATGCATGATAGATGTGTCCCGGCCTTAATGTGACAAGTTATTTGAGTACAAACGAGTGGATTGTTGCAGAACTTATGGGTTTACCCAGCCGTCTATTTACCAATATGTTGTTCAAGTAGAATACTAACCTGATTCCCTCAGTTGTGAATTTTTTTCATTAATTCAAAAACTACACGTTTCAGGTGAGTGTCTTATTTGAACAGTTTAACAGTATATTGGTAAGTAGATGGCTGCGGAACTCGCTGCGCTCGTCCCGCAGAGGTTCACCCATAAGTTCCGCAACAATCCACTTATTTGTATTTAAACAATAATTTATTATATGAAGTCAGAATTTGTAAGATTATCCACTTTTTGTCAATTTGCCTTTCAACAGAAATTAGTAATTTTACTTTACCAAACTAGTAACATAATGTGACAAGTTATCCATCAAGAAAGAAAGGAGTGTCACCGAAAGAAGAGAAATATTGAAGTGAAGCCCATTCATCAAGACCAGATACTATTAGAAAATGCCAATGTTACACTTGCAATGCTTTATTTGAAATAAAATTAAACATCATTTAGTAATACACCTAGATATTTTTCCTTTCGAATGTGACACTTTCAAAGCAAAATTTAAACGAAAAGGCCATTTTAAGAATCATGTATTGGCACACTTGAATATCCGTCCTTTTGAATGTGACACTTGCAAAGCAAAATTTAAACGGAAAAACGATTTGAAGAATCACAAGCTAACACATTTGGATGATTATACTTTTGAGTGTGACACTTGCAAAGCAAAATTTAACCAAAAACTTAATGTGACAAGTTATTCGAGTACAAACGAGTGGATTGTTGCAGAACTTATGGGTGAACCCAGCCGTCTATTTACCAATATGTTGTTCAAGTTCAATACTAACCTGATTCCCTCATTTGTGAACTTTTTTTCATTAGTTCAACAACTACACGTTTCTGGTGAGTTTCTTATTTGAACAGTTCAACAGTATATTGGTGAGTAGATGGCTGCGGAACTCGCTGCGCTCGTCCCGCAGAGGTTCACCCATAAGTTCCGCAATAATCCACTTTTTTGTACAGGGTGTTTTTTTATATATTGACACCCCACCTACAGCCTTTACCTTCACAGGTAGAAGAAAGGTGTAAATACAAAAGTTGTACAGTTTTGCCTGAATTTTTAGAAACCATGTTCAGAAACAAAATTTAAATATCAATCTCTCATATATTCGGCTCCAAAAATTGTAAAAATACTATCTTACTACTGATTTTATGAACCATTCTACCTGTATAGGTGAAAGCTGCAGGTAAAATTTGGGGTATAAATATTTAATATTTCCCTGTAATAATCCTTAAAATTTATTGGGAAATAAACGATTGATCTCTCAAATCATCAATAGCCAAACTTTGAAAATACTAAACCATAAATGTTTAATTCAAAAAAATTGTCGAGGCGAAAATATCCAATTTGTATATCCGAATCTCCTATACTCCAATCCGGGATTTACCATCCAGAGAGAGGGGTTAGAGCAGGACGCGCCGCCGTCGATGTTTTCTATATATTCTCCCGAAATATCTATAGACGAAAAAAAAAAACTGCTCTTTCCGGTTACAAGGTTTCATTTCCGGCTTGACTGCATCTCTCTGGCTATATTTCCGGCACAGTTATCCGACTTTATCCGCGGGGGAGTTTCGATGGCGACATGTGTCCTACTTATCGAACGCCGAGGGAGTTTGAGGTGGCATTTACATTATTATTTCAGCGTGTGTATTGGAAAGTAAATTGTCCGAAACGAGTATCGGATACCAAGACAATGACTAGTTGTTGTTGTTCGACAATTTCATTTTCAAAAACTATATATGCAAGCAGGAATTGTATTGTCTAAAATAATCCATCTTGAAAAATGTGTATACTAGAATCACGTTTTTAACGTAATCTCACTGGAATTCCACTAAAAATTAATAATATTTTTGACTTATGAGTAGAACATGATAATGAATTAAAGTATTTTTCATATGAAAAGGTTAATGCATGCAAAAATTATTAAAATCTGCAAAAATCACTTGTACAAAGTATTTCTAATGATCACAGTGACTTGAAACTTTCAGAATCAATGATCAAATGAGGAGTTTCTGAACTACAGAATTTGGAATTCCACTGGAATCATACATGTTTGTACACTATAATTTCAAGATGGTTTACACCTCGGAACAATCTAATGATATAGGAAAACGTAATAAATAACATTTTATTTGAAATTTCGTTTCCTTAATCGCACTGTCAATAAAAATTTGCCAGCGCTAGACCATTTACAAGCGAAATTTTGTCCAGCGCTTGAAAAATTCCATTAGGGACTGGTTCATCAGTGGACGGCTACCTAGTTTAACTGTCACTCAACTAATGATAATTATTGGTTAACTGACAGCTAAACTGAATAACTATTCACTAATAAACCGGTCGAATTAGGCTAGGCTAGGCTAGGCTAGACTAGGCTAGGCTAGCTAGATCTAACATAGTTAATCAAAGTAATTTTGCATGCAACATATAACATAACATAACTGACTTAACTGCGTGGATGGCAAATAACAGGTGATTGACAAGTGCTTGCCAGCAGACAGCTGATCAACAGATATCAATTCAGACCTACATATGGATCATGTTTAATTTTGAGAAAAATGCAAAATATCGAAAAACTAATATATTTGGATCGTAGACAATGGATCAAAGAATGTTTATACTAAATTTAAACCAATCTGCAAACGAATTTGAAACTACAGAAAGCAATGTCATTAATGACAGATTAAGTTCCGCTTAAGTACATTTGACAGCAGACAGCTAATCAACAGATATCCAAAAGTTGACAGCTGATTAACACGTGACTTGATTTTGAAGGATAAAGGTTGCAGAACCGTCTTATCCCTTCTACTTACAAACGATCTATGTTGGTCCCTTATTTGTTAGGTTAAAATGGAGTCTCCTATAAGGAATTCTCAAACCGCTAGATTGAAAAATCTTCACATAGCCTTTATAGAAACATATCTACAAAGTTCTAAGTATTAGATATGCATAACTGAAAGAAATGTAAGCGCGCACATAACTTCAATTTCAACTCATAGAATATGTCAAGACGAGTTCGAGAGAGCCATTATTTATGACCAGTTCCAGATTCAAATATTTTTATACCCGATCGGATTCGGGCTGTAAATCGCTGAGCGTGATATGTGAACCCCGGGGGTGCATTGAAATCAGCCATCTTAGGTGCTAGCGGAAGCTCCCTCTTCAATTTTCTACCCGTTTCACATTTTAGATGTAGATACGCAAATAATAGCACCGAAGGTATAGTGTGTGTGTGTGTGGCGAACAGAGGCCCTTTTTGGATTCCCAACATAATCGTAAAAATCACTATGCATTGCTATTCCGAAAAATAAGACAGACATGGGCGGCCCGTAGGCTGCCACATAAGGGTTATGCCGCCCCTGAGAGACACTGAAGATGGGGTTATCGGTCTCGGTGGGGCCCTTGCGAGGTGTGACGGGGAATGAATGGATCGGGGCCGCGTTGTTTTTCACGGAATTACGACCGCAGATTCCGGTCGGGCGGCTAATGGCATAGTGCAAGTCTGGGCTCCCTCGAGTTCACTTTTGGCTCCGCTGCACAAATAACTTGACCTATTAATTCTCTAAAATTTATTTTCTTTGTTGCAGCATCCCTATCCTTCGGAGGACCAGAAAAAGCAACTAGCGCAGGATACGGGGCTTACGATACTTCAAGTTAATAACTGGTAAGTTGTAAATCGATAACAAAAAGAATTTTGTATCGGAATAGGAATGGATTGATTAATCGTAGTAATTACCGATCAGCTTTCCGCGCTAATTAGATTTTGTCCCCCGGCAGCGCTCCAAATGAGATTACGGCTGGAAATGGCGCTCGCCACATCAACCGTTCGTTGTGTCGGGGCGCACGCGTTAATTGTCATCGATTTTTATATAATGTCGTTATGTCCGTACACAATTTATCACGTTATCTTACTTTTATGCACAAAATTTACTGACTTTTAAATTGATGACTAAATCAATAACATTTTTCCTTATATAAATAGATTAGGGTTGGGGGTGTCGGACTCTTTCTTCGAGTAATTGTCGCAACACGAAAAGGGCGCGCCGGTATCCACCTGATCCATTAAGAGATAGATCGGTTCCCATAGAAAGCGCGCGCCCTATCTTTCCGCGACATTCATCATGGTCCGGAAGGCACCGAAAGATTCGGTAATTACATTTGCGCAAGCGGAATGTAAGCGAGAGCTATGCAGATCACATTTTAATGCAATTCCATCCATTATCGTGGCAGGACCATTAACACCCAGTCTTGATGCAATTTGGATTGTATAGAAATGAACGCAACGGTTGAGCCGGGCATATAGTGGAGAGAGGGTAGATTCACAAGTTTCGGAAAGCCATATCTGCGGCCTTTATACGTATAACAATAGCTATGTACAAACTGATTTTGGAATCTTTAGAAAATGACAATATAGTACCTATAGAGGCTTTCCAGAATTATTTCTAGTTATCCCAATCGGTTTGAGGACTTTGTTATTATATTATTGTACTTCTGACTACAACAAACTGTTCTGTTAGTCACTTTGGCTGCAACAGCGGGCATTATAGTTGCACTCGTCTACCATTTGGAATCTGTTCAGCACCAGACGTATGTTGTCAGAGGGTATGAAATGAGCCATGGATATTGAGCCTTGGATATTGAGCACACAAGGTCCTCAAAGAACTAGTTGCGTTGCCTAGTAGAACTTTTAGGGTCTCCTCATTTGGAAAACAAATAAAATCAATCTCCCTATTGCTGATTTTTATAATGAAACGTATCTATTAATCAAAGACATATTTCGAGATAGACAACCAATTTGAAATAAAAATATGTGTATGGAAATATGTAGTTGGATTAACGAGATTCCTACTGTCCTTACTGCCTACCCACATTACGATACAGGCTGGTTCGCTGGTGGAATTCTGTTAACATCCACCGAAATGTCGTGTCTACCCTCTTATGATAAGGGAACGATCCGACAATTTTGGTCAAAGTTCCTAAACCTCTTTCCAGAAAGATGGTAGCGGAATCGTCTCGTCCTCCGTAAGAAGAGGGGAACTCTATGAATGATTCCAGTTAGTCTGGCTGAAAGTTTGATCAGCCCAGCTTCCTGGTTGATGTGCTTTACTTCGAATCATTGGGGTTAAAGGTGTAACCTGTTGTCTCACTAGTTGGAGCGGGCGAAAGATCTCAGACCCCTAATGTCTCAGTATATCTGGATAACGGATGACTGGGATGTTCCGAAAACTAATAGAGGGGAAACCCCGATCACAACCTATTAAGGAATGTACGGATATATTGAACAAATATCTGGCACATGTGAAATATTTCAAAATAAACAGCATTTGATAGGGGGGATTCAATCACTGTATCTTACTGGTCTTGTCCTTTATGCTACAGCGCACTCTGACAAAAGCATCAGTAAGCAAACTAGGTTGCACGAAGAATAATGAAAAGATCAATGCTTGACTTATGAGTCTAGGATTCTAGGATCAGTTCACTCTTGTACGGAAAGTGATCGGGTTGTTCGGTTCAGTATCCAGTTGCGGATCTATAGAACCATTCTAGGGGGGTAGAGCTTCTCGACTAGTAACGCCTCGTGGTCTATACCAACCACGTCCAAAATGCATTTTGTCTTCAAAAAATAATTTGTGTGTTTTTTTGATAATCGAAATATGGTACAATTGACGTCCTCATAAATATGTCATTTTGATCATGATATGCCGTTTATGCATGTATAAATCACGTCATATTTTGGTAAGATGACATCGCGAATCGAAATTGACTTTAAAATGACGTCATTTGGAGACAATTCAAGAGCTTGGAATAGAAACAATCCTTATATTTCTGCTTATCAAACAGTTTCTTTTCAAATTTTTCTCAATTTTCAATTCTCATTAATTTTGTCGTTTAACTATTCCTTTTCAATTTTTGTCTGTTCCCGGCTCTTAAATTTCTTTAAATTGAGAAAATTCAAGAACCTGAAGTAAACAATTACAAATGCTCCAAAAATCTGTTAAAATGTGGCAACGTTGCTGTTGTAGGCCTCAATTTGAATCACAAGGCTGTCAATTGACAAAAAAAGTCATAATAATCGTAGGTGGTCCTGAAAATTAACTCGTCAATTGTCAAAAGTCATAATATTGTATGTAAGCCAGTCAGTTGTCAAAAAAAAATTGAGTAATTATTCCAAGTGTTTGAACCGGTAACAATCGAAAATTTACTTTGATGATAGTTTGGCTCGACCAACTGATCATTTATATTGTTTCCTACTTTATCTCGCTCTTTGTCTTACTCATTTATAATCGCTTTTGGTTTTTTGCTAATGTATCCTACCTTTTCTTCTCCTTTGTTTTACTCACTAAAATCTGGAAAAACATTATGTTTGAGTTTGTAATTATGGCAACGTCGCTTTTGATCAAGTAGGTCTTGTAATGTAATGTCATTTGACATTTTAGACAGTCGGCCATTTTCGAGTGTTTTTATCCAGTTTCTCCTCGAATTTTCCACTTTTCCAGGTCGGTTTCGATCGGGAAAACTGTTAATTATATGCGAGCCCGAAGGGCCGGAATTATTCGCGAGCCCGCAGGGCCGGAGTTATATGCGAGCCCGAAGGGCCGGAGTTATACGCGAGCCCGAAGGGCCGGACCTATACGCGAGCCCGAAGGGCCGGAGTATACGCGAGCCCGAAGGGCCGGAGTTATTTTAATCACGGGGCCCAGTCTATAATTCTATCGGTTAGCGGATAATTTGGAGCCAATCAAAAACCAGGAATATTCAAAATGCGATTTTTAGTGCCCAATCAAAGAGCCGGGAATATTCAAAAACTTTAATTTTATCAAGTTAACTTTGGAATGATGGTTTTCTATTGAGTTTTCTCAAGATTTTTACTTTTTTCAGAAAACGGTGGTTTTTTCAAACATATTCTACTTTATCATCATCTTTGTCTTACTCACTATAATCAACAAGTAAACCTTGTAATGTCATTTTCATTGAAATTAAACTAAAAACAAGTTTCCGATGTTTTACCTAGGGAATTTTAATTATTATAATCATTATTTAATAATAATTTAACAATTTTTAATTGAATTTTAAACAAAAAACTCATTTTAAATGTTATTTTTGTTTTCCAAGATGTAATGTGGCAATGTTGCTTTTAGTCTGCCATTTTGAAGTGACGGCTTGTGATTGTCTGCCGGTTTTTCCTCGAATTTTCGACTTTTCTGGGGATTTTTAATGAAAAAAAGCGATTTAACAAACGAGGCTTTGAGTTTTCTCCATTTTCTAGCAAAAATTTTCACTTTTAAATGCCATCATTAGCAAAATTCCATTTAAAATGCTTTTGATGTGGCAACACCGCTTGTGGCTAACTTCAATCAAGGAGGCCTTGTAATAAATATCATTTGTCATTTTTGACAGTCGGCCATTTTCATTTGACATGTTTACATTTTTATCCAATTGTTCCTCGAATTTTCCACTTTTCCGGGCTGTTTTCGATCGGGAAAATCGATTTAAAGTACGAGGCTTTGAGTGTCTTTCATTTTGTATCAAAAATTTTGAGTTTTTCAATGGGGTAAGTAACAAAAACTTAAGTTTCATCAAGTAGGCTTTAGAATGTCATTTTCCAATGGTTTTTCTTTGGATTTTCCAATAGTTTTTCTTTGAATTTTCCACTTTTCCGATCAGGAAAACCAATTTAAAGTACGAGGCTTTGAGTTTTCTTTATTTTCTGCCAAAAACGTAAACTAAACACAAACTACGTCAAAAATCACAAAACGAGTGTTACATTGGTGACGCAATCTATTTACGAATCAAAAATTGTTGTTATTTCGAATTTGGATACAGAAATACAAGTTAATTAGAACATCGACATTAGACTAAGTAGGCAGTAGGCTAAGACTCTTTGAGAATTTGGAAAAAATAAAAAAATTGAAAATTGTACCAAATATGCCAACGTCGTACCAGCGTACTCTTTTAAAACGGATGGTACCAAACCTGGTACAATTGTATCACATCTGGCAACACTGATCAAGACTTACCTAAGATACCCTTAACGTTATTCAGGTGGCTTAAGATCCATCTTGATTTAAGGTACCTAACTTTTGATATACGGTGAAACTTGTATTAAGGATGATGACTGACATTGAAATACCGGCCCTAGTGAAGTAGAAACCGATGGAGCGACAATCTGAAAAACATCAAGTCGACTGCTTAAGAAAAGGAGACCTGAAAATAAGATCCCACTAACCAAACAAATTGTGTCAAAACCCAAACTCTTGACTCATGGCCATTTGCAGGGCTATCACTTAAGGGATATTTAATCTAAGTGGAGCTTTGAATGTGACTTTTGTTTCTACAAAAGTCACATTCAAAGCTCCACTTGGATTTAATATCCCTTAAGTTAGAACGGTGCAAATGGCCGTTAATGGTATATGTTTGTCTATATAATAATTGAAAATTGTGAATCCAAAAGACAAAATCTAGAACGCCAATGATACAAAAAGTAAAAGTGTCCCGAGACTTGTGGCACATTAACGTCGGCCCGGCATCTAAGAGAGTGCGATCGGTATCGAACACGGCCCCAAACGTCATTGTTCGAATGTCCGATGGCATTTCGGCCACGTAATTAATGGCACCTGTGTTTAACAAACGTGATTCTGTGGGAACATTCCTATAGCGAGTGTG